ACAGAAATACCCAGTTACATCTCTCTTTTAGACGGTTCTCTCCCTCCTCTGCTTCAGTGCAGTATACATTATTGAACCCATCTTACTCAGTGTCCTCCCTCTTTCTTAGTGATCTCTTTTTAAAAAATAAAACAGCTCCCTCTAGACCCTGGTGACCATTAATTTGCTTTTGTCCCAATGCATTTAGATATTTCACACAAGATCATACAGTAACTGTCCTTTTGTATGTGACATTTAAAAATGTTTTCAAGATTCATTCACGTGGCATGCAGGACTGCTGTTTTTAAATATAACATTTGTATACTCTCTGGCTTTTTTTTTTCATTCATTCATTGTTGCACATTTTTTTATTTGCCCCTCTCCCCTCAATTCGCTTTTCTCTTTGGAAAAAAAACCCAACCCTTCTTTCATTGTCATACAGTCCCACCACGCCAGTTCACTTCACTATGCAGCTTTTATTCTGGACTCATGTCATGCCAATAATACCAAATCATATATTCCTTTTATACAGTTCTCTCCCTCATCTGTTTCAATGTACATTATTTATCCCCTCTTTTCTTAGTTTTCCTCCAACCCCCATGTCAGTCCTGTTTTATAACAGTGGCACTATGCAGTATTTGTCCTTTTGTGACTGAGCTATTTCACTCAGCATAATGTCTTCCAGGGTCACCCATTATGTATAATATTTTGTGAGTTTCTTGTTTTTCAGTGCTGCATAATATTCCATTGTGTGAGTATACTACAGCTTCTCTATCCATTCAATTGTTGATGGGCACTTAGGTTGTTTCCAACTCTTTGCTACTGTGAACAAAGCAGCACTAAACATGGGTGTGCTTAAATCTGCTTGGATGTCAGTTCTGGTTTCTTGAGGGTATATTCCCAGTAGTGGAATTTCTGGGTCAAATGGTATCTCTATTTCCAACTTTTCTGAGAAAGCTCCATACTGCCTTCCATAGTGGTTACACCATTTTGCACTCGCACCAACAGTGAATAAGGGTTTCAGTTCCTCCACAACCTTGTCAGCATTTGTTGTTTGCTGCTCTGTTGAATTTTGCTGTTCTTACTGGGTGAGAAAATATCTCAGTTGTTTTGATTTGCATCTCTCTTTGAGCTAAGAATTTTGAACATTTCTTCATGTTCACCATGAATGTCTGTTTGCCATCTGAATATCTTCTTTGGTGAAATGTCTGTTCATATCCTGTGCCCATTTTGCAATTGGATTGTTTACCTTTATCTTGTGATGTTTGAGTATTCTATAAATCCTAAATATAAGTCCCTTATCAGATATGTCATTACCAAATATTTCTTCCCCAGTCTATGGCTTCCCTTTTTACCCTGTTGGAGAAGTTTTTGGATGTGCATAGGGATTTGATTTTTAGAAGGTCCCATTCATCTAGGGTTTTTTTTCAATTTTTTATTTATTTTTGTTTGTTTATTATTATTATGTGTGTACCGTCAAATTGGATCTGACTGGTACAGGAGGCGATTGTTCCTCCTTCTTGAGCAGAGCATCTGGTGGATTTGAACCACACACCTCTGGGATTGCAGTGCAGTTTCTTGCCACTAGGCCACCAGAGCTCGCCCCATTCATCTATTTTATCCTCTCCTAGTTGTAGGTTTTTCAGGATGCTTGGGAGACTGTTCATGTTGTGGATTAGGGCTTCTAGAGTTCTTCCAAGCTTTTCTCTAATGACGTTTATAGTCCTTAGTTCTAGTCCTTGGTCCTTGATCTACTTTCAGTTGGTGTTTGTATATGGTGTGAGGTGTAGGTCTTGCTTGAGTTTTCTGCAGATGGTTTTCCAATTTTGCCAGAACTATTTGTTAAAAAGGCTGTCGTTTCCCCACTTAACTGATTTCATCTCCTTATCAAAAATCAATTGACCATAGTTAGATGGGCTGATTTCTGGGTTTTCAGTCCTATTCCATTTATCTATATGTCAGTCATTGTACCAGTACCACGCTGTCAACCACCACGGCAGAGTAACAGGATTTGAGATCAGGGAGGGAGATGCCTCTTACCTTGATTCTCTTTTTAGAATGCTTTGCTTTTTAGAGTTCTTTGGTTATTTGGAGATTGCCTTTTCCATCTCACTGAAGAATAGAATTGGTATTTGTATTGGGATTGCATTGAATGTGTAAATTGCCTTTGGTAGTATTAGCATATTCACAATAGAGTCTTCCTATCCGTGAGCAAGGTATATTTTTCCATTTCTCCAGGTCTCTCTTTGTTTTTTGTAGCAATGTTTTGTAATTTTCTTTGAATAGATCCTTTTTTGTTTCTAGTCAGATTTACTCCCCCGTATTTAATCTTGTGATTAGCTATTGTGATGGGTATTGTTTTCTTAGCTCCAGTTCTGTATTCTCTTTGTCACTGTAGAGAAATACAATTTATTTTCGCATGTTGATCTTGTATCCTACTGCTTTGCTGAATTGGTCAAATATATCCAGTAGTTTTCTTGCTGAGTCTTTAGGGTTTTCTAAGTATACTATCATATCAACTGTATATAGAGATAATTTTACCTCCTCTTTGCCAATTTGGATACCTCTTATTTCCTTCTCTTGTCTTACTGCTACCGCTAAGACTTCCAATACAATACTGAATAGGAGAGGTGATAGTGAGCATCCTTGCTTAGTTCCTGTTCTCAAAGAGAA